TCTGACATGTAGCCGTGGGTAAGGCTGAAATGTGAAGGACAAAATATATATTTATAACAGAGCGCACGTGGGCAGAAGATGAGCAGGTGCAGGGTGGACAAAAAGCTCTGTATAAAATGTTATTATGGGAATGGAAATATCCTCTGCTTGAGCATGTCTAGCATGAATGAACTTTGACATATTGACTCACTGTCCCCCATCAGGCAGATCCAGGCCCATGATGCGGTCATGAGGCTGCAGCACAGAGGTGTAGGCTGCAAAGTTAGCAGGGGATCCAGAGTATGGCTGAACATTAACGCCCCACAGATTGGGATCCAGACCAAAGACCGAGAGCGCTCGCTTCTGACACAGCAGCTCGATCTGGTCGACAATCTCCGCACCTCCGTAGTATCTGACAAAGACAAAAAAAAGAAACATAGAATCATCTCATGTTATTGTAACGCACACACTTCATATTGTAATTTATCATATTGTACGATAACTGTATAATTTTGCAACAAATCATGTGTACTGAATCATGCAGTACCCTTATGTATCCTATCACATCTTCAAACTTTGTATTCTGTCATATCATGGGATGTCGTAATGTATTGTTCCATTTATTTGGCTATATGTTATTGTTTCTTACTGAAACTGTACTATGATGGATAACACTGATCACTGTTGTGTATCACATCAGATTTTATTACATCGTATAGTATCATAGTATTGCTTTCTTTTGCATTCAATCATATCATATTCAACAGACTGTATTGCATCGTATGCTGTCATATCACTCTATATCATGTCACTGTCCTCTAATATACTTTGTGCACTTTTAGTTTGTGTTGAGCTGGATTATATTGCTATATGCTATGTGAACAGCCCTGAATTATGCTGGGAAAAGAAATGCAAACCTTTTTGTTTTAAAGTCCATTTGCCTTTAAATGAAATTTTATAAGCTTCATGTGCTGGCTTCTGAAAATAGTTTTAATGACTAAATCAATATATGTTTAAAGTAGGCGATCCTTATTACCTTTGTCCTGGGTATCCCTCAGAGTATTTGTTGTTCAGACAGGAGCCCTGTGCCTCCAAAGCTGCACGACTGCAGAAGTTCTGGAGGGACAAACAAAAAAGCATCAAAACCTGCAGTAAATTTTTATCATACTTATATATTCAGAAGTCTGTCACCAAATATAACCTGTTTTTTTTTTTAACCAGATATAGCTTTTATTTATCTTCAGAAGGACGACTGTTTTGCAAATACTTATTGCAACAAAAATGGAGCAGGTGCTTTTAACAGCCTATTGTATAAGCTACAAATGAGCCATATTTGATTATTTAAAGAAATCAGAGTGCATTAGAGGTACTATAGTTATGCTGAGGGCTGAATATAGAAGAATCTAACTAGTACTGAATCCTTGCAAAGTTCAGCACGGTGTCAAATGTCAGAAAAGAGATGGAGCTGCGGAAAAAGGAAATGAATGTAAATGAATTTTTTTCCCTGTCTCAGTCTTTTTTTCTCCCACTCACATTTCAGCTTATCTTCTCTCACTGTCTTTCGCTTTCTCTTTCTCTGTCCTCCTCAGCCGCCCCCTCTGGGTTGTTATTTTACTAAACCTGTCACTGTTCAGGGATCCCTCAATCATTCCAGTGGGGTTTAAAACTAGTCCCCCAAGTGACATAAATCTCTTTCCATGACATTTTGAAACACTATCTTGACACACACAAACACACACAAACACACACAAACACACACAAACACACACAAACACACACATACACGATCGCTCCTCCTTCTCTGTCTCAGCTTTAAATGTGGGGATCAGTGAAAGAAATCAGTGGGGGGAACCTAATGGGATCATTTGACTATGTTCCTGAAGATGAAAAAAAAGCAGGGTCTCTCCTCTGGGAGTTGGCTCAGAGCGGCAAATGACTGATAGCACATGTAAAAGAAGATTAAACCTTTCAGATGTCATCGTGAGTGATAGTGCTGTGGATGCATAATTGGTGGAGAATAAAAGAATAAAAGCTCCCGTCTTTTCCCACAGCTTCCACTTAGTCAAAATAACTGACTTAAAAGGAGTTGGTGGGGTGCATCGGAAATCTCAGTGAATGCTGAAGAAAACAGTAAAATTCTGGAAACTACAACTCTGATGGCTTGAGATTTCACTGCTGACAAATGTGCTCCTCTGTGAAGAACAAAACATCTTTCAGCCCAAACTCAGTGGAGTATTTTACTGTAAGTCTGTGGAGTGTGCAGCTCTTTCATGAATTTTGCGTCGCAAAACCGATTTTTATCCTGGCTGACCAAAAAATGAGGTCTTAACATTAAATGTAAACCTATAGACTCATTACCCCAGTATTTATTTTTGACTGACATCATCTATTAAACAATCAAGTAGGAGGAAAATTAAAATTCTTATTTTTAAAATATTGTTCACCATATAAAAAAAGCTGTAAAAATACAGGAAATTTGCACGTGACTGTAGTGTTGAGCCTTTGAGCTAAACTAGATAATCATCACTATTTTTTTTGTCTCTGTTGAACATAAATACACACAGGACTTTTAATATTTTAGTTCATATCAATAAGTTATATTTTGATTGCTGGCTGTGCATGTGTGATGTGGTTATTGAGCCACCATGAACAAAACTCTAGCAGTGAGGGATTTTCTGGGTGTTTTGAGATTTTTAACGCACCAGGATTTTTATAAATGTGTTTCTAGGAGTAGAATAGCAACAAGTTACATAATAATTTTATGCTAGTCAAACAGCTGACAGTATTTCACTGTAAAGCTTGTATTTTACAGTGAACAGCACATTTCCATAAGACTTGCACTTGAAACTGTCATTCTAGATTACAGCAGGTACTCTGTGAAATCACAGTTTAATGCCGGCAATTCTAGTTGCTTTTATTTTATTTTAATTTAACAATGAACAGAACAGTTTACCTGTCACACCTCTTTTTCCAGAACTAATTTTGCACAGAGATTATGTGTGACGCAATACACAGAGCAAACATTTAAACAGCCACTTTTGATTCCCCTCAGCAGCAGGCTGCTGAGGGGAATCATACATATAACGTGTTGTTTTTCCAATCAAGATTTACTGAAGATTTAGCTTTCATGTTTTTCCTCTTTTATTTAATCTCCTTATGGTGCTTTGATCACATTTTCTTCTCTTTCATCTAAATGGGGTCTGACCTCTGATGCGATGAGCTCCAGTCCCCGACACTGCCTGTCCTTCTCCTGCTGGAGGAGTCTCCACATCTCTGGGTCATCCTGAGCCAGGCTCTCCTGTCCTGTCCACCCATCGCTGCTGCTGCTGCTGAGGTGTCTTCTGCAAGATTTTGCAGTCATCTGCCTCTGTTGGCCCAAACATGCTGAAGCACTGAGAAAAAGGGGCTGCAGCGTGGGGGGTAGTGGATGAACACACAGGAATGATTTCAGTCACTGAATAAATGTACACTTTTTGAATAATGATTTTAAAGCTGTTCACTAGTAAGCAGCCTGGGGCGACTGTGTTACATTTCTTGCGACCTGCTGTTCTAAACTGCTCAGAGAAGTTAATAAAAACCTCTTGAAGGCACAAATACCAAGTCACGGGGTGCGATGCAACTCTCCATTGTGCTTTAAATGCTCTGCAGAGTGTAAAAAAAAAGTTTCTGGTGGGGGGTTCTTTTTCATCCTTTGGTGTCTTTTGAAACCCTGATGAAGAGTAAGCCTGTGCACAAATACTTTCATCCCTCAAAATGATAATACTTTGCACTTGGGGTTTGTAAACAAGGGAGTTAGAATAATGTGGCTTTTGATGTTCTAAACAACCCATTAAATGAAAGGCAGTAAAAAAAAACACACAAAAACCCCCCAAATGTGTTATTCAATGGAGCAGTTATGGAAAACCTTGGACTTGAAAAATGTACTGCGTGTGGGCTGGTCAGACATGGAGGGGCTTGTTTGTTGAAACCAGCTTGTGCCTGCATGATAGTTATGCAACTATGTGTTACTTTGGCCTAATAGACAGATTACTGTTGAAGCATAAATATATGTTAAAGTAAGTCTCCTTTCATCTTTTGTATTCGCTGTGTTGAGTATAGTAAGTCTTGCATAAAGTGCAGACTGTGCAGTCAACTTTCTTTCAGCAAAATAAAGAAATAAATAAACTGGGACAGCAGTGTGTGTTTCTCTTTTGGACTGAAAAATACAAAGAAAAAATCTTCAAACCAGACATTTTTATCAGGGTTGACGTTTAGTGACAAGCTGGCCTACTTACAGTTATAAGTGACTTATTTACAACTACTCTTACATGCAGAAAAAGGGTCTCCTGAAGCAGATATAAGTGCACGTAATTTAAAAAAACAAAACGTACTCACCTGTAATCTTTGCCTTAACGTCAGAGAGAGCATGTCTGCAACAGCTGAGGAAAAACAGAAAACTTCCCAGGTGCAAAGGGTGAAAGTAAAATCAGTACTGGATGTAGCCAGATACTGGACAAGTACTTTGTGTCACTGATAATAATGACTACAGTAAATAATCCCTTTCATCTCGCTCTGTGAGTTCTTTGAATAGGAAACTTCCATAAAACAAACAGGCATAGAAATATTTTCATAGTAAAAACATTAGCTGAAGTCAGTCTGTGCTTTAAAAGAAAACCTACATGTGATTCTGTCCTTAAACATAGATACATATACAATATTATCATTATTTTTTAAGTAAAAAAAAAAAAGAATACAAGTCAAATTTTGGATGAAAACCTTAATTAATGCATAATCGTGAGGCAAAAGTTTTAAACACAAATTCAAAATCAGCGTTAATGTTTTAATGAGTGTGCTTTCAGACAACACAAAGCTTACACAAAACTTAAATCCTTAAAAAAGACAATACAAGTTTTGACTCAATCTGCATTCACTGACAGGCTGATGATGTATCTTTATGTTGAAGGTGTTTGGAAAACTGAACATATGATTCTGAAGGATGTTTGAAGGACGAGTGAGAAGTCAGTGTATCATATCTCAGAATTTGTCACCCAAAGTGCTGCTGGTTCTGCTCAGGGCAAACTTTCTGCACCAGTCTGTAATCTGTGCCAGTGAAGGCGATGAAGATGCATATAACCTTAAATGGTTTGGCACAGATCCAGGCTGCCTGGGACTGGGTGTTTTCTGAGTAGCATGTCTGGCCTGGGTCGTACATGCAGGGCTTGGTCTTCTTGGACCGGTTGGTTCTCTGGTACTCAATCCGGCAGTTGAGTTCAGTCACCATCATCATGTCCTGCTGCTGCTTCTGCTGTTCGGGAGGAGTGGAGCTGGTGGACTGAGGAGGGCTTGGCAACTGGGACATCAGATCTGGGAGCAGTACTGAGTTTTTAGTGTGAACACTCTGAGATGCAGGATCAAGAACCTCCCATCCCACAGCTTTGGAAGGTGGAACGATGCTGACAGATATGTTCCCCAGACGGGATGAATTGTGGCGGAAGTAGACGCTGAATGTTCCATTGATGTGATCCACAATCTTCCCTGTCACCAAGAGGCTAAATTTCACTGTTTTCACATTAAAGTAAAAATCCCCCCAGCCCAGGATCTTTTTGGCCTTTGGGGAAGTTTTAGCTGGAGGTTTGGATTTGGGAGGAGGACGATACAGATACTGATCCAGGGCTTGTGAGAAGTTCTGAGGCCAACCGTATGGGCCAAGTGAGCCATAAGCAGGTGTTTTATGTTTGGTGGAGATGATCTGTAAATCTTTGGAGATATGTTTAACTTTCAGTGCTGCTCCACCAGCACCTTCTCTTCCTCCTTCCGCCTCACCCCACTCTTGGCTTTGGAATTCCAGTTTCTTGGATATCTCTTGGACCTGTGGAAAAAAAGTATAAAATAGTGAATTTTGAAAATGTTCTTCATCCATTGTTGCAAGATATAGCTTATTTGTCAGCTTACATACAGCTGTGCTCAGAAGTTAACAGTCACTATGGGCATAAATGTCATGGGGCTTTGGGGTTTTAGTGAACTGTTCTTTTTCCAGGGATTGTACAACATACATATTTAATGACTTAAAAAAATAAAACAAGAATTAGCTTCACAATTCTGAAATGTTTTGGATTTTATCTAAGCTCAAAAGCATGCACAAACCCCACTAACATTTGGTTAAATGTCTTAGTAAGTTTCACCTAGACCAAACACTATTGGTAGCCACCAACATGTATCTGGCATCATTCTTGCAGGATATTTGAACACTCTACTTGGCTTCTTTGAAGCATAGTCCACAAATTTCCAATAGGATTGAGATTTGTACTTTGGGAATGCCATTCCAGAAGCTTATTGTTAGCCTGCTTTATCATGTTTTTGAGATGTTTGAAATCATTGTCCAACTCGGACATGCAGTTGTGTCCAAGCTGTTGATTTGAGGTGAAGTTGAAGTATTCTGAGAGACCCCTTCTTCATTATTCCATTTACCGTGTGCAATATACCAGTACCAATGGGAGCAGAACAGACCCAGGGCATTATGTGACCACCACCATGCTTGACAACAGGTACAGTGGTCTTAGAACCTCGCCCTTACTCCTCCAACAACCTCTTGTCATTGTAACCACACAGGTCAATCTTTGAATTATCGACCATTAAAATTTTCTCCAGAAGCCATTTGACTTGTCTGTGTGAGTATCTGCAATCTTAGTCAAACCTAAAAGTGGAAATGTAAAATTTCCATGGTGGTTACCTGGTTATTCCTGAACATCCTAACCAATTTCATCTCATCTGAGGGGACAGCTTGGGTGTTCTTTCACACTTTGACAAAGTGGTAACACATCCTAATAACTTTTCTTACATTTAGTTGTTTAAACCGATTATCCTCAAATTTGTAGCTGTTTAGAAATGGCCCATTATGTTTCTGGAATGGCCGTGCCAAAGCCACAACCTCAGTCCCGTTTAAAATGTGTAGACCCTGCTTAAAAGCTCCATGCCATTAAACAACCTTGTTTAAATGAAGATTGGTCAAATATCCAGCCAGAATTATGCTAGACGCTTGTTGTCCAAAATAAATGAAAACTTGTGTACATAGTTATTTATTTTTCTTAAACCATTACAGATGTTTGCTGTACGATCATTCCACCCTGGAAAAAGAACAGTTCAAAGAAATCATTACAAGCCCCACATTGCCATGACATTTATGCCCATGATGAGTCTAAACATCTCACCACAACTGTGTATCCACAGGGGTAATATATATATATATATATATATATGTATGTGTGTGTATATATATATATATATATATATATATGCATTTTACTTTGCATTAAACACTGAGATGCCAGTTTTTGAGATCTCCGGTGCAGTTTCAAAACAATGGAGACAAATGGAATTTGGCCACAGTGTTGTGCTTTTGCACACCATTTTTCCATAAACACTACAGAATATAACATTTTGTAGATTGTTTTAACTGAAGAAACAGTCCCTGTTAGGAAAAAATCCCCCAAATTTGTGTTGTAATTGGCCGATTTGCCAAGTAGTGAAAAGACACGTTGCCTTGTTTTTTATTTATCTTTTTATTTATTTTGAATTCAGTAAGCACCACATGTAAAATTTCATCCAGCTTTTTGATACTGGCGTAGATACTGATATATCAAAGAGAGGCAGAAAAAGAAAGAGAGACCCAAATCCTAAAATCGAACCTCTTTGATTAGCCGCAAACTACTTTTGTGTTTTGTTATACTAATAAAACAACTCTTAAAAGCACCAAATGAAACTCATATCCACCAATGCTCACAGACAACTATAAGAACTTTATAATATCGACTGTAACCCAAAACAACTCTGGGGTTGTCAACATTGTCACCATTAACTACAGTAAAAAAAACGACAGTAAAAAAGTCACAGGATTTTGTTGTTGGACTGCAGAAAGTGACAAGAATGACGAAGAGCAAAACTGCCCTTGACCACCTGGATGACCACAAAGAAAGGACAGCTTGACTGTAGCTGCACTATAAGGCAGCACATAATCGATTTAAATAATTATTCTTGAGTGTTGCGGGCCCTCGCACTGAGAACGTCTTGAAATTGACTGTGATCAATAGGTTATCTCCTTCAGGCAAGGACTACAGTAATGAGGAACATGCACACACCCACACCACAAACAAACACAGTCCCGTTCTTGTTGACATTAACACGTTTTAATTTGCCCGTCCGTTCGTCCTCTCTCACTCCCCCTTTAAAACTTCCAATCCTCGTTTCTGCACGACCTTGGTAATGGACCGTCTATAGGCTGATTAATCAATATGCTTGAGATAGAGAGAAACGTGGCTGCTGAAGAATCAATAAAATAATAAATGTATGAAAATATGAAAAATATGAAAAATATGCATCTGTTTCAGGCACATTTCCATATTGAGCTCCTTCTGTGCCAAATATGTCTCAGTGGTCTCAAAAAGACTAAAAAATCTTTAACCTTTTTCCTCCTCCTCCTCTTCATTACCTTAAATATCCCAGCTTCTAATCTTGGATTGATTTGGACAGCTTCTTGAAATGAATAAGGGATTAAGCTTTCACCTGAATGCATCTTGTTAGGTAAGAGCTTACGACTTCATGTTTTGTTCGTTGTATTCATCACTTCCACCCACATTGTCCTCCTTCCTTCTACTGTCCTATTTTGTCCCTTTTTCGGGAAATAGATTGTATAAAGGTATCTACGCTCCCTGGCCTTTCCCCTGAAGTCAAATCTGATGAAACAGTATGGGTGAACAGCCTGCAGATTATATGAAAAAAATACACCACATCAAAATGATACATTAAGCTGCCTCTTACAGTGTTGACTCCACTGTACCGGAGAAACACTCCAAATATATTTTACAGGAACTAAAAACCAATCTGTTGCCACTAATTGCTTTAATGTTAAATATTTTGGCTTCTGTGATAGCGCCACATTTCATGCACAGCTCACGCAGAACTGAAGACATCATTAACACAGAGAAATACGGTAATTAACTCCACTTGAATGTCCCTCTTGGGTTTAAAAAAGAAATAGCACTCCAAAAATATAAGAGTGTGACCATGAAAACTAAATACGTCTTCATACTGATGAAGCAGCTTATCATAAGCCAGGCAACCACCTGCTGTTGTGTCTATTAAAATACACAAATCCCAATAAATCAAGTGATGTTTATGTAACACATTTGCTCTGCATGGCTGACATGTGGAGCTACGTCTCAGTATGCAAACTGTATATACAAAAAGTATATAACACCAATTTTGCACAATGAGTTTAGGATAAAAACTAATTGGACACTTCTCTTTTTATATAAACACTTACTTTAGCTTAGGTGTAATGGTGGATGCTCTGTGGGTGATGGGACAAGATTTTTTTACGCCTCTAGGGACATGAGTTGTTCACATTCACTGTTTAGGACTTGATTTCTGTTTTTGCCATAATGTGTCAGAGGCAGATGGAGGTTTAGGGCTAATCTCACCTAGATTTCTGAATAAACAGCTCCCAGGATATCATTATTTTACTCAAACAAGCAGGATTCTCATCCCCCCCCCCCAACCACCTCATCCCTGTGTGCCAATCTCTGCCTTCCTCCCCTAACCAAGTGCGCTCCAGCTGTGCCTATTGTTACAAACCCAAAGCTCCAGCTACGTGCTGTTCTCACCTGCCCTAATTGGAGCCCACAGTGTGACAGCAATGTCACTGGCTCAGTGTCAAGATGCCAGCACAGTGACTGCAACTGAGCAACAGCAGTGGAGGGGATACAAGCACAACACGTGTGTAAAAGTACCTGCAGAAGCAAAAAAAAAGTAAAAACTGAAAAGCATCTGAAAAGCCTGGGAGGAGTGTTTGCTTTTTTTAAGGACAGAGAGATAGAATTCTTGCCACTGGCTAAAAAGTTCCTTAATGTGTCAGTTTTTTGGGTTGTTTTTTATTTTAACGGCTTAACCAAGAAGAAAAAAAGAAAAGAAAAATAAGTTTGAATGTTTTTAAGCCCCAGGGTGATGAAACTTCTTCAGACTGACAAAGCCCGTGCACTCATTTAGTTCAAGCAATAAAGCACAAAATGAGGTTGCTTTGAGGATTTGCACTTGACATCTTAAATACCAGAGATGCAGATGATGCAGTCGGCTGCTCGTGCAGCATGAGAAAGTTGAATTAAAGAAAGGGGCGCAGATTAAATTACAACTACGCTTGAAAGAGAATTAGACACCATGGGACTGGAACAAATTTAAAATGTGAAAGCGGTATATATATTCATCCTTCCTGAACTTTATCTAACAAAAGATTCCACTTTAATCAAGTCCTAGTACAATTTCACACAATGAAAACGTCTTCGGTCTTAAGTTTGAAAGTAACAAAGCAAATCACATCAGAGCAAGACACCGTTTCTCATTCCTAAAAATGAACAGGTCTCTGATTTTTTTTTCTCTCACAATATTCTCAAAACAGCAAATCCCATGAAGTCTTTACCAAGTCATTTAAACTCTTTTCTACTTCTTAAAATCCCATGGCAAGTTACTTGTTACCTTTTAAAACTACAGTGATGTTTGGGATAATTTTGACAGTCCATGTCTTATTCTGCAACAGTGCTGTAATCTCAGAATGAGTGGCAGAAATCAAGCAGCACATAAATTTGATTATAACGTACTGATCGCTAATAATCAATGGTACACATTTACAGGAAATCTGAATGGAAGTAACTCTTCATGCACTTGGTGCAAAGGCTGTCTGCAGTCTACTCACTGATGAAGGAAGAAGCCACAGACAGGTGATGGCAAAGTTCAAACACAGAGCCCTCATTTTGCAGCAGCCTTTCTCCATCCAGAGAGTGGGACTTTGTTACAGGCAATCTGCCCGAATGATTAACGGAGTTAAAGTCGACTTTCACTTCTAAAGAAGAGGAGACAATCCGCAGTGAGAGACTCGAAAATCCCCAAGAAATGGAGTGAACACTCCGCTCTGCTCGCCTCTCCTCTCCCTCCCACTGACTCCTGTTCTCTCTCTCTCTCTTACTCTGTTTTTCCTTCTCTCTCTAGCCCCCAAGACACACACACACATACGTACAACTGACTTGACGTGATCAAAAATTTATAATAAAGTATAGCATCCATAAGAGGAGAACAAATTTCTTGTACTGTAAATGTACACACACACACACACACTCACACAGCCTCATTTTCACCACCTGGACAGCCCTTATTATGGCTCATCAACCCATGAAAAGGCGCTCTCGGGCAGGCACAGTTTGACAGCCCTCCCTGTCCCCGCATAGCCACAGGGAGGCTGACAGAAATGACGAGGGCGCTCTCCGGGGATTGTGAAAAATTACTGACAACTGGTGAGATTCAGTGCCGCAGTGAAACTTTAAGCCACAGAATCACTGCGAGCAGTAACCAGCTACCTAAACTGAATAAAGAACCAAAATTAGATTTTGTATAAATGCACAAACCCACCGCGCTCCATCTGTTCGAGCACCTCCACACTAGTTCTTCCACTTGACGGATAACGATGAGTGTGAAAGAGCACCCGCATTTTAAACTGGTTTAACTTTGAAAGCATATGTTCGCTTGCTGCTTTGAGTGTGAGTTAAATCAACTTAGGTTTAATAGTTAGTTTAAAGTAATTTTGTTATTTGACATAAAAATCTCACTAAAGCAGGTAGGATTAGAGAAAATGTAAGACATGAAGATCGAGCCACTGCTTTCCTTGAGGGCATTTCTACAGCCGGTGTTTGCGTCGTATTCACAGTTAGTGAGTTTTTACATGTGGTCAGTGTTTCTGTGGCAGCAAAAATTTTGGTAATGTGAAGGGGATTAGCATTCTGAAGTATTTTAAATATAGTCCCTAAGCTGACCTTTACATGTATCTTTTTGTTTTGTAGACAAAGATAAGAAGTTACAATTGCTCACAAAACACACACACACACACAACAGGCTTTTGAATTATTGCAGCAAATAGGCTTTGCATGACATAAAACTCATCATAGGTAAAATGTGTTTTTCAGCAACATGTTCTCCACAAATTAAAGCCACATTTTTCTTTCTTTTTCCTCAAAATCCATTTACCGGAAATAAACTGCTAACTATCAACATTTTAATGACTTCAAAATTTACAAGTGAGATATTTACTTACTAGATAAGTGAAAGAAAATGGAAGGATGGATATTTAATGATTTACCGCACCAATGTATTTTATTTTGTAGGAGATAAAGTTTGTGTTAACCACAGGCATCTTAACTGAAAATCCAGTGACTTTGGACCAATGTAACCAGAAGTGCCAATTCTTAGTAGTTTTATGACTCCAAGTCTGAAAAATAAAACAATAAATCAGCTTTGGGGGTGTCAAACATAAGGCCCAGGGGCTAAACTTGGCCAGGTGAAGAATCTGGCCCAACTTTAGAAAATGTGAAGGAGAGCATACATTGTTAAACTTTAACTACAATTTCATTCATTTGTACAGCTTTTTCTATTGATAAAGACTGCCCACCCCCACTACCTTCCATTCTACATCAAAGCAATAATTAACAGATAAATGATTAAATGAATGGTCAGAAAGTTTTTCAGCTATACTATTAATAACTATGCTTGGCTATTTATCATCGTAATTATAGCATAGTCTGTTATTTTTAAACTTTAAAGTAAATTAACAATTTTTCTAACTGTAATTTTACACATTGATCATGCAGTTTAGCTCACTTTAGCTCAAAGTGGACTGTATGTGGCCCACTGTGCAAAATGACCCTGATCTACCTTCTTTATAACGGCCAGCAGGGGGCGAATTCACTGGTTGCAAAAGAAGTTTGATTGTATTGAAGTCGACGAGAAAATGTCCCGATTTCACATTTGATTTCGGATCGATCAGAATAAAAACTTTGCTGGAGAGCTCATGGGGACAGTCACTGTTCTCAAGTGTTGTTCAGCGCAGGATGATTTGACATATGATGGTCCCACGTGCATGTAAAATGAGCATGCAATCAGTTTTATATCTCTGTCGATCATCACGTCCAGTTTTAAAAACCCAAGATGGAAGCCAAAGAGTTGAACTCAGGGCTTCAAAACAGTTTGTGACATAGGCTATGTTTTTATCTTTTAAAAAATATATATACAGTATATGGCTGCTAGAAAATATGTATGTGTATTACTTTTGAAGTGTTGAGGATTAAAGTAGCTGTTTTGTTTTAATTATAATGTCTATGAGAGATCCCTTCTCTCACTGACCACGTGAGATCGAAGTCATCATTGCTCCTTAGAGACAAGCAAAAGGTTTGGGGAAAAATGTTGGAAAAAAACATTTATGATGCTGTCTGTTACAGGGATGTTTCTGTGTGCACTGATTGCCAAGACTTGGAAGGGTCAACTTTAGATAAACAAACAAATAAATAAATAGGTTATAGGTTCGGGTTAGCGTTAGGATCATGTAGATGATAACATAGATGTCTTAAAAATGTGGATGCCGTCAAAATGAGATATCATACCGCCATCTAGTGGACAATTCAGAGATTGCTCTTGTTGCTTGCCCTGTAACAAAATGTTTGTCCATATTTCCCACAATGCAATGCGCGCAAAGCTGCTTTAAAATAAGTAGTTCACATTTATCTGTGACCCACAACAGCTTTGTGGTGCATATGTTAGTGATGTTTGTAGTAAAGGTTTACCTTTTTTCATCAAATAAAATGTTGGGTTTTTGGGTTGTTTTTTTGCGTAAACCATAAGTGATCATACCAGTGGGAGAAATGGGGTCATTCTCTAAGCCATGCACTCGCCAGCACTCTTGTTTCTTTTCAGATCGTATAAATCTTTCGCCTTTTACTAAAGATTTCCGTGGAGAGGAACAACAAGAGTTTTACTCAATTTTTTGATGCCCTATATTTGTGGGGCTTCTTTTTCAATGTTAAAAGAAATAAATGTAATGTTTGAAACTTGTTGCATTACTCCCAATGTAAATAAGTGTCAGTAAGGCCTTTTATCGTGTGCCTCTTTATGCCGACCGTATTTATGTACCAATCCTCCAATATGGACTTTATTGAAACTCGGCAGCAGTTTCACGATGGACTAAGATAAACATGGAAATTCGTGTTACACCATTCAGAGACTGCTGATTCTTTTATTCAAGAGTCACGTCATGTTTTAAAGGAAAACCCAGATAAATTTTCACCGTTGAGGCGTCTAACAAAACGCAGGAGGCGGGGTCTCCATATTCCCACAATGCCATGCGCGCAAAGCAGTTAGTGTAAGTAGTTCACATGCATCTTGTCTTCCACAACACCTATGTGCTGCTTGTGCTGGTGATATTTGTAGTAAAAGTTTATCTTCGCGTATCAATGATAAAGTCAACTTTTTATTTTTTTTTTTTTTTTGCGTAAACCGTAAGTGATCATACCAGTGGGAGAAATGGGGTCATTCTCTTAGCCATGTACTCGCCAGCACTCTTGTTTCTCTTCAGATCGTATAAATCTTTCGCCTTTTACTAAAGATTTCCGTGGAGAGGAACAACAAGAGTTTTACTCAATTTTTTGATGCCCTGCGTTTGTGGGGCTTGTGATCTGTTTTAAAACAAATAATTAGTTGCACCGTAGACAGAGAATTCTTGGCTAGTGCACTGTTGTGATTTCTGAGAATTGGTGCATACATTATATACTTATGACATTTTAATACATTTAACAGCTTTTCCGACTTATTGAGACTGCCAAACCTCATTGCCTTTCATACCACATCAAAGTGATTAATTAGCAGATAAACAATCAGGAAAGTTGATATTTTTCAAATATTAAGTAAATTAAGCAAGTACTTATTATATTTTACAACTACAGAACAATCTGTGCAATGAGCATGTAAAAGTTTTGAGTTAAAGTTTTGACATTCATCGGTCACCCAAACCTTTTATGCACTTTTTTGATCTTAAGTGGGCTGTATGTGGCCCACAATCTAAAACGAGTTTGAATCTCTGATATATAACATTGAAGCAAACAGCAGTATCTAGTGCAGTGAAGTATGCTAGATCGGGCTTGGTTGTCACACTTTTCACTCTTTGTGTGAACTAATGATCACTGAAACATCTTTCAATAACCACTCCTTCATTAAATTGAAGTTGAAGGTATATCTCAAAATACCTATACCTTCTATTTTTGCAGTTAATTGTTACAAAAATAATTAACTATTAACAACACACTGACACTTTGTGACAGGCCATGTTGGTGTTCCCTATAATTATCAGTTGGGTTTCAGTAGAGATTGAAGAGAAATTATGCGTAACTTTGTATTTCATTTTTTCAGATAGAGACATCAGAAAGTTTAGAAATGGACTCCACCTAATGTTACTTAAATTAAACTATGACTATAAATCAGTGAATTATTTGATGTATGAGCAGTGAAATTAGGAATTTCCAGTGCTTTAAAATGCAGTTACAAATTCTACTGAGAAGCGATTCCACATTCATGTCTCAGTGTTGATGAGATGTATCACTGACATCATTAAAAATAGAGAGAGGTTTCCTGCATCTTTGAGAAGACAAGCAGTGTTTTGTGCAAGATTTTCTAACTTGAGCAATAGCCAGCAAGCCAGTGCAAACAGATCAGTCTAAAAATCCACGACATCAATATCAAACTGACTCTGAACTCTTGTACTTTTTAAGGTTGATCCATGCTCGATCATCCAGGTAAGGAAACTAACTGAGATTTCCATTTTGAGGTTGCGAGTCTTTAGCTAGCAGTCCTATACCTCAGAGTCACACAAGTCAGTTATGTATGCCCCTGAAATGCCAGAGATACAGAGATAAGTAACTTAAAGAAGTCCAGACGCTTTTCTTTGCAAGCTCCTTTGACTACGATGACCTGGATGACTGAGAACCTTCACAGACACAAGCTTTGTGAGCTTAGTTTGGGCAGACAACACAACAAAACCATACTTTCTTGAGCTGGCTATTGATGAATGACTCAAAACAAACCATTCAGAGAACAAAGAAACAAAAATATCACTG